TGGTTTTGATACATTTGTTTATCTCCATTTGCTTTCGTTTTCTTGCGTTATCCTTTTATTTGTCCTTCATTCGCAAATATTTTAGAGCCACGATGGAATACAATGAACAGAAACAGAATCTCCTAGAGGCCGAGGAAGAGCTGCTTCTGCTCAAGGCTCGCCTTAACCATGCTCGAACTCAGTACACAAGATTACAACGAACCAACCTCTTGAACACCGCCTTTCCTATCTGGTATGATGGCCATATCGGTGTTATTAATGGTCTCCACCTGGGCCGACTTAGCAACAATCCGGTAGGAAATTAGTTATGATAATGGTGCATTTTCACTTATACTAGAAAGAGGAAAATGGGTGGTTTCTTCAGGGCTTATTATCCATAAGGTTATGGAATTCCGAATATCATATTTCTCAGGAATTTGATGCGATGTGTACTAATCTTACCTCTGTAGTAATATTCTCTGGCAATTCCATTAATTTATTTGCTTGGAATTTATATTTCAAAGTTCCATATATTCCTTTTTCGTATTTCTGTTAATCTCGCCCTTAGTATATTTTTCTTTAATTAAAAAAAAATTTTTAATTATTTTTGACACTAATAAGTGCGAATTGATGTATCGAGACCAACCTTCTTAAATAATAAAGTACTCGTTTACTTTTATTTGAAGTTAATGCTGCCTACTACCTACCTACTACTATTCTAGTCCTACGAGACAACCTCATCCCTCCACAAATTGAAAGTATAATAGCATGAAGTGCTTTGCATAGATCTTTTTTATTTTAAGTTTTTCCAACACAGTACTAACATAGTTGATCATTCATTTCTTTGCAAAATTAAGTTTCAGTTTTCTCACCATTACTTATCAAGTCTTTATATCTCATAATATAATTTATATAGAAGTTGTTTGATCTTGTTTTCGCAATTTTTTCATATTGGTAGGAAGACTTAAATGAACGTACCTAGTTCGGAGTGCATTGTATACATGATATTGTCCAATGTCGTGTACATGGTACATTGCCAGACTGCATCGTCGTCGGCATCGTCAGTGAGTCTTGCCATTCTTAGCACCATACAACAACTCGTCAGCAGCTTTGGTATCTCTCCTGTCATGGGCTGTTTTGCACACATTTGGTCAAAGGATCGGCTTCACTCGTCTCTTTTACGAGTTGTTGTATGGTACCAAGAATGGCAAGACTCACTGTCGATGCCGACTACGATGCCGGCGTAACGTCTGGGAATGTACCACGTCCATGGTCCGACTTTGGAAATTATCATGCATACAATGGACTCCGGACTAGATGCGTTCATCTAAGTCTTCTTACCAATATGATCAAGTTGCGAACACAAGTTTAAATAACTTCTATATAACGAAAGAAGACTGTGACCACACAAAAGGCCACATTTTCTTGGTCTTCATATCTTCTATTATAATTTATATCGTTTGTTTGTAACGATTAGTTGGGCAATCGCCTAAATTTATGTCATTTTTGCCTTTGAGTTTGATAATTTAACGTTTCGAACCTGATCGAACTATGTATTGGTTCATTGATTGATTGGTTCAATGATTGTCTTTTTATTGTCAGCTCCCCCATACTGTATTCGGCCGTTTCAAGATATGACAATTGGTAATACTATTAGTTCCTTTTCTCTCTTCGTTTCGGGGCCTCCATTTTTGTAGTTGTAGAGGGCAATCGTTTTATATTTTAGTGACAGTCCACGTCACATTCTTCCATGTGGAAATATCCCTGTTTGCTTTTACACTTCCAAACAAACACATTTTGTGTTGTATTTGTTTTCCAACTGCGACAAAAAATAACTTAATTGCAAATTTATTTAATTTTTTCTGATCTAGATTAAATGGGCTGAAATCAATGCTGCT